TTTCCCTATGCCCCAGACCAGGTAAATTCTCATGCTCTAACCACAACATGGTCTGTTCTTTCTCAATTGTGACATCCTCCATGACAAGCCCACTTAGAATATTCTCTCATCGAGGAGGCCCAAACACCTTCTGCTTGCAAAGTTTGCTCTGACGCTAGAATTTCCTTTGCCAGTCCAAAGGCTTTACTTCGAACTTCACTCATGAACTACCTCGAGGTTCCTGGCTTTCCTAGCTAGCTCTAGGCCAGGCATGCAATCCCAGAAGGAAAGGGATGGGCTTTGTTATATTGATGTTATTCTCAGGGGCTACCAGCACAGTACAACTCTGAGACTGTAAGCTTAGTGTTGTTCTTATTCATATCAGCAACCTGGAAGACTAGGAAGTAAAACTATCACTAGGAACCAAGTATTTTAGGGCCTGGGATAATGGAGCATGACTTTAATCCCAGCATTTGGAAGGAAGAGGCAGGAGGATCTCTGTGAGTTCAGGGCCAGTGTGGTTTGCATAGGGAGTTCCAGGACAGCCAGGATTACACAGAGACCCTGTTTCAAAAGAGAAAAAAAAAAAACCAAGAATTTCTAGAAACATTCTGAGATTTTAAAAATCCAATCAATTCCAAGTATATCATAAAGATATTACATAATGCTGAGAATGCCAATGCTTATATAGTAATATTAGGCCAGGTTTATGTTAAAAAATTAATATAATCTCAAAATTTATTATAAATCTGATGAAAACTTGAACCATAAGAAGGTTATCTCTGGCTGTGTTCTCATTCACAACAGTTAAACAACCAAGTCTTCTAATTAGTGGTAAAATATTTTGAGGATTTTCTCTTGGTAAGCTATGCTTAATCATGGTTGAACAAAAACAGAGTAATCTAACTGGAATAACATTTTCTTTTTAAAAATGGACTTAAAGACACATTTCCTATTTCCAAATGATTTAAACCATTTACAAAAATGCAACAGGGCTGTGCAAATTTACCTCAACCAACCATCAGCAGGATTGACACTGTAGCTTATATAATCTATTGCTATTATCTACAGAAGCCTATAAATTTACTTGATAAGTAAATACAGAAATAATTGTTATCTGTATAATATATTTATTTAAACTGAGATAATTTCCATTGGTGAAAAGAAGTTATACTGTAGCATTTGGTATAAAAGCAAGAGCACTAATTCAGCTCCTTGAAAAAATGTCAGAACATGTGATTCCTGTTTTTTTTTAAATTCCAAATATAACTCACTGTATTTAGCACCTCCTGTACTTTCCAGTATATTAGATAATTGCATACCATGTTAAAAACAAAATAAAGGAAAACATTCCTGCCACCCACCTTTTCATAAAAAACTGAAAATATTAAACATATACACGAGGGAAGCTGTGAAGGTTAGAATGACTAGTCCAAAGAACACTGCATTTCTTCTCTTAATTAAAAAATAAAAACTAAAAAAGAGGATTTAGAGGGCTTCGAAGGATGGCAGCAAAAGAAGTGAGAAACATAGCATCATTGGGCAAAAAGAGACAGTTCTTCAGCCAGGTACACGGTGATGGTGCACGCCTTTAATCCCAGCTCTCCAGAGGCAGAGCCGGTCACATCCCTGTGAGTTCAAGGCTAGCTTGGTCTACAGAGGCGTCCCAGGACAGCCAAGGCTACACAGAGAAATCCTGTCTCAAAAAACAGAGAGAGAGAGAGAGAGAGAGAGAGAGAGAGAGAGAGAGAGAGAGAGAGAGACCCCTGCTAAATAATGCTCTGGGAATGAGCCCTGTCCCACTGATCAGAGAACCTCCTTCCCCTAATTTTTGGTCCATTTGTACTGAGTCTCAAAAAAAAAAAAGAAAAGAAAAGAAAAGAAAATGTTTGAACAAAGAAGTCCATGACCTTAAAGTCTGAGAATCACTAAGAAGGATTAACTGATAATGGCAATGTTTGACTCCCATGTTAACACCTACACAAATATAAGCAGTAACAGTCAATATGGAACATGGCTTTATAACGTCGTGAAACAGGCTGAGGATGTAGCTCAGTGGTAGAGTGCATGCCTAGCATGTACAAAGCCTTGGGTTCAGTTCAATTCCCAGCACCATAGAAGGAAGAAAGGAGGGAGGAAAAGGGAAAGAAGGAAGGAGGAAGGGAGGGAGGGAGGGAGGGAGGGAAGGAGAGAGAGAGGGAGAAAAAAAGGGAGGCAGGGAAACGGCAATAAAGAATAAGAGAAATAGATCAGTATGATCAAAGTACATTATTATATATATATGAAAATATCAATATCATACAATCCATTATTTTGTACAAATATATACTAAAAATTGCTCTGTCTTCACGGGAAAGTTTGTTCTTTTGCTTCTGGTCAATTGTGTTGGGCTACTGTTTACAGAAGAGTCTGAAGTCAAGATTTTCCGACAGCTTGGGTTAGCAGAAAGAGCAGATGATTTCAACAGATGATTTTTTTTTCCTTTTTTTTTTTTTTTTCCTTTTTTTTTTTGGCTGTGAACCCAAAGCAAAGAGCTTTGGCAAGGGAAGATAAGACCAGGCTGCTATGTAGTATTGTTTGGTATGTTTGTTTAGGTGGATGGGTAGGGGCCAGCACAATACTAGGTAGAGGACATACCTATCTTGCTGTGGGAATCTACACAAGAAATCACATCCCTTTCCAGGGAAGTGTAGTGACACATCCCTCTTTGGAGACAGGGATGTCCTTGAACTCAGAGAGGCACCTGCCTCTGCTTCCAAAGTGCTGGGATTAAAGGCGTGCTCCACCTGGTGACACTCCAGATCCTTAACATTTATTTCTTCCCACATTCCACTTCAAGGACAATTATTGTCATCAAAATTCAGAAATTGATATTTATAATAAAAAGTAATTTCCTAAAGAAATAAATCATGCTACCTACAACTTAACTACTTTAATGTTTTGTTTTCTCTGAGAATGAACAAGATAGAATAGAACCAAAAGCTTAAGTGCCAGTAACTTGGTCCATGACAGAGAAAACTAACTTCAACCAGTTCATACTACCACAATTGAAACTGTGAAAGAGAAGAGACACTGTATTATCAAGTCCGTCCATAACAATAATCCTATGTACTATATAGACCAAAAATGCTTCTACAGCAAATGAAACCATTGATTTTCCTATTTGCAAAACTTTACATAATTCAAAACAGTATTTCTTAATGTTCATTGTTTTGTAAGAGAGTAATTTGAGTCTCTCCACATTAAGACTCAATTTCAAATAATCAGGATCAGAACAAAACCAATACTTGCCATTTGCATTTTAAAAACTAACTGTAATATTATTCACTGATAGAAACAATATTTTCCATTTGGTAAAAACAAAACCAACATCAACAATAATTTGAACTATGTCAAGTGACATTTAGTTCTTAACCCTTTTGAAGGCTGAGAGATGAAAATGGTAGTTGGTTCCAAACACAGGAAGACAGAAGCTGCTGTGCACTTCAAATTATGTAACTGACCTATTGAAGATCTACGAATCATGATTCCAGTTCCTTCCCAGTCACTACAGGGTAAGTCTATCCCTGCAATATATGCTAATAAAAGTACAGGTGCCATTCACTATCTTCTTTTTGGACTAAGAGACAAACTAGAATATGTTCCAGTGGTTTATTTCCTCAAAACAGATCCGATGAGAACAAAATATGTTCCTTACAGATCCTGATTTCCTCCAAAGAAAACTTTATATAAAACAGGTACAGGTACAATACCATAAAACCTTCTGCAAGATCTCAAAATGCCAATTCCTCTAAAGTTCATTTTTAAAACAGACAAAGGAGTTCAATGCTTTGATCCTTTTCATGCTTCAATCATTTTCAGAGTAAGATATAAACATAACATTTATAATGGATTTTTGGAATTCTAGATCAACAAATATCAATTATTTCATCTGGCTATAATACTCCTCATTAAACTATATGAATTCTACTCATAACATTTATAACATTAAAATCACTACCAAACATACAACACAGGAGTAATTGATTATATGTATTTTTTCATATTTAACATTTTCTGATTATAAAATTTATTGCATTAAACCAAAAGAAAATTTAGTTTATCTCTGACATAAGGTTTCGAACACTTGAGCTTTAAAAAGTGAATTATTTCTATTCTTTCTAAGCAAAATGTAGTTTAATATTGTTATGTCCAAATTTATCTATATATCTATATAAAACTGTCCAATTACGGCTTGGACCAGCTGAGGGCATGCCTCAAATCTTTAAACAACCTTTAGAACAGTGGTCCTAAACCTGTGGGTCATGACCTCTTTGGAAGTCGAATGAATGACCCTTTCACAGGGGTCGCCTAAGACCATCAGAAAACACAGACGTTTATATTATAACTCAAAACAGTAGCAAAATTACAGTTATGAAGTAGCAATAAAAGTAATTTTATGTTTGGGGGTCACTACAACATGAGGAACTGTGTTAAAGGGCCGCAGCATTAGGAAGGTTGAGAACCACGGCTTTACAGCCAAGCTCTTATGCACTAGGAGATCTTATTCTAATTTTAAGTCCTTAGGATCAGCAGTGGCTTGGAAAGTGTATTTTAGAAACCTATGTGTTTTTTCATAAAAAAACAAGTAACATCAGGCATAGTGGAATGACTGAGATCCAGCTACCTGGGAATCAGAAGGCAGGAGGACTGCTTAAAGAGAAGAATGTGAGGCTAGCCTGAACAATGTAGAGAGAGACCTCGTATCTCCGGTGGCTCTCATGTCCTAGTATCAAAAATTATGTTTTAGGACAGGATGAAAAATCTAAGTAATTTCAAATGAGGTTTGAGAAATAACTAGACTAAACTCACAGGATTATGCTTCTAGACTTTTAACATAAAGAAGAGTTCACATTTTTTTCCAGAAAATAACTTAGGAATTACTTTAAATATATACGACTTAAAACTTGACAAGAAAGGTTTGCTTTAACATATACATAGCATTTCAGTTGAAGAATACAGGGGAAGCACAGACACTTTACCTGCTTCCTGTGAATTTAACACTTCTAAGGCATGCATCATGGCACTTGCGAAGACATTGGCATCCTCTTTGCTGCCAAAGTTGAGACCATACACCTGTCTAGCATCCCGCCACTGGTGGAAAGTCTGTGTGGCTTGATTGTACTTCAGCCCTTTAGGAATGGCACAATTTATCACAACCTAAAAGACAGTAATGCATTATACAGTCAGGCTGGTAACTGGGGAAGTAATAGAAGTCAATTCAAATCCTGACTTCGGGTTATTTAGTTAAACTTGTTCCTAGCAGACTTTGTCAAAACTAGTTGGTATAGTTACCTAGGGTAAAAGCAAGTCTACAGAAATGAGTCTGATGGAACATAAGCTATCTTAGGGTTACAAAAGGCCTGCTTTAAAATAGTAAATCAGCAAAAGAAAAGCAATGCACCTCATTAAACATACTTTACTTGTTTGTCTGAAAACCACAAATACAAAAAAGGAACATTAAAGGAAAATGGAACTGTACAGGGCCCTCCTGACTCCTCCCATCCTGAGAGGGTATCTCTAATACTACAAACTAGTTTTATAGGATTTGAGAAAAATAGAGTTACAGAACCCATGTTGAGAGATGTATCTGTCCTCTTTCCTCAAATTCACACCTGAGAGTCATCCACTTGTATGTGCAACTGTGGTTTGTTAATTTTCACTGCTTTATGCAATATTCCTTTGTATAAACTACCAATCTGCTCATTCTTTGCACTAACATTTTTATTGCTCAGAATTTGTGGCTACTACAAATAATGACATGAACATTCCACTAAACATCTGGTATACCCAGCACACGTTTTTACTGAACACGCACCCACGAGTGGGATTAGCACAGGTCATATGTACATTTAACTTTAGTAGAAAACTCCACATTGCTTTCTAAGTGTGTCCTATCATTTACTCTTCCAGAACAATGTATGAAACTTTGTATGACTCCATATACTGTGGAGCATTACCACTGATAATACTGGCTTTTACTTTTATAGCAATACTGGTGGGTTTGAATGTGTATCTTTGTGCTTCAGTGTATTAATACATTACTCTGATCACGAATGAGGTTTAGTACTTTTTCAAGTTTTGGGGAAAAAATTTAATTTATTACACTATGTGTCCATAATGGGGTTTGGAGGAAGGTATGCACATCATGGCGCATGTGTAGAGGTCAAATGACAACTTGGTGGCATTGGTTCTCTTTCCATTTTTATGTAGGTTGTAGGGATAAAGCTTAGGTTGCCAGGCTGCTAAGTTATACACTTATCCACTAAGTTACACATAGGCTCCCTTTTGGTGCTTTATTTGCTCCAAATACTTCCGTGAATTACTGCTTACATTCATTAATAAACCTCTGGCCCATTTCTCTCCTGAGTGATCCATCTTTTTCTTCACGTATTATCCCAAAGGGAAGGTATCTGTGTGACAAATATCTTGTACCATTCCATAACTTGCCTATGTACTCTTAGTGATAGTCACTTCTTTTATTCCAAATTAACAATCCTTTTCTCTCTTAATGTTTTTGTGTTCTGTTTAAGAAATACTTCTCAATCTAAGTAATGAAAATACTACCTCATTTTGTCTTATAGAAGCTTTATTACTGTTACCATTAACATTTACATCTCCAGTACAACTGGAACTGATTTAAGCCCATGGTGTGAGACAGGTTCCGACTCACTTCTATTAACAAAGATGAGGGTTCACCTTTTGTCACCAATTGTGATTTGTCCCCCTGGTAAATATATCTAATATTTGCCCAACTCTAGTGTCTTAACTACTGAGGCTTTCTACTAGGTCCCCGCCACTAGACTTTGTTCCTCTACTCTGTTCCTCCTTACTGCTTTAGCTAGTTTTGGTCCATTGTATAAAGCTACTATTTACACTCTAATTGTCAATTTCCAAATTTAAGACTGCACTCAAACACTGGGCAGGGGTGGCACATGCCTTAGATCTTAGCACTCGGGAAGCAGATGATAGTGCATCTCTAATTTCGAGGCCATCCTGATTTACAGAGTGAGTTCCAGGACAGCCAGAGCCACAAAGAGAAACCTTGTCTCAAAAACAAACAAACAAACAAATAAACAAAAACCAAAAAACAAAACAAAAAAGACTATACTGAGGCTAATAGAACAATCTGATCACTGATGTCACTGCTTCTCATGAGTATCATATATTCCTTATTTAGGCTGTGTTAACACTCAGTACTTCTTTGTATTAGTATCTTGAGCACCTATATAAATTTATCAGGTATTTGATAAAATTTTGTTATTTGGTTTTAAAATGTTCTCCATAGGCTCATGGTTGAACACTTGGTCCCTAGCTGGTGGCACTGTTTGGCAAAGTTGTAGAACTTTTAGGAGACTGGGCACTTCTAGAGGAAGTGGGTTCCTGGAGGCAACCTTGAAGACCTACAGCCTGGCTTACTTCCTATTCACTCTCTGCTTCCTAGTTGGCGATGCAATGTGACCAGTCAGATGCTGTTCCTTCTGACTTAAATTGCTTTAGTCAGCATATTTTATCACAGCATCAAAAAAGCCACTAAGATACTACTGTAAATAATATCAATTAAATCCTTATTTCTAACTCAGACGAAAACTAGTTTTAGACAATGACAACATACCTAGAGCACTTACTAAACGTACTTGTTGATTCTAACCTATTACTAATCTAAGATTTATCAATTCTAACATCCTGCTAACCCTCATGATTTATATTCAGGTTTCTTCCCTCAAAATACATACGTAATCATGTTATCTACAACTAACTATTTCATATCTTCCTTCTTAATCCTTGTACATTTTATTTTCTTTTTCTTGCCTTCACTGGTTAGACATACAACATTAAAAAGATATGGTCAATACCAGCATCTTTTGTCTGATGCCGTCTTCTGAAGAGAGTGAATATTAAGCTTGTAAGTAAAAATGAACTCTGAAATGTTTAACTTGTGATAAATTACAGCAAGGACACAAACAAATCTGTTGAGAAGATAGGGAAATGAGTCATAAGCTGACTTCACAGACAAGGTCATTAGAGTGTAAGTACTCATGGACTGTTCACTTTGTTGTGGCAAGGCTAAAAATGAATAGGGCCAACTTAGATGGAACATGTGGACTCGGTGCACAAGACTGTAATGTAACACACAGTTTGGGCATACAGTATGCTTTCATAGTCAGTCACTCATTAAGTAGTTACCATTAAGTGAGAATATCTATACTTCTTTTTTTGTTTGTTTTGGTTTTTGGTTTTTTGAGGTAAGGTCTTTCAATTATGAAGCCCTGGCTGTCCTATAATTTGCTATGTGGACCAGGCTGGTCTTGAACCTACAGAGATCCACTTGCCTCCCAAGTGCTGGGATTAAAGGCACGTACCATCACACCAGACTACATTTCTTATTTTTAAAGATCAGTTACAATGCTGTCCTTCCTCATTCCTCAACGGTTAGATGACTGAAAGAATTGATTCCTGTTTTTTTGTTTGTTTGTTCTGAAGATAGGATCTCCCTACATAGCCCTTGCTGGTCTGGAACTCACAGAGATCTGCCTGCTACTGTCTCCCAAGGAGCCCGCCATCTTCTGGTTTTCACATGTGATTCAGACATACATGCAGGCAAAACATCCATACACAGATTGGGGGGCGGGGGTGGGGTGGAGAATGTCCAATAATTTTTAAAGGTTTTCTTTTCATTTTTTTTTTCAAGAGAGGGTTTTCCTGTGTAGCTCTGGCTGTCCTGGAACTTACTCTGTAGACCAGGCTGAAAGAAAGACAAGGGCTACCACCACCCAGCTAATTTTTATCTTTTTAGTTTTCATTTAGTTTTGCTCTCCATGACAGCATCATGGGCAATACTGACAAGGCTCTAACCCAGTGACTCTCCACTTGTGGGCTAAGAACCCATTGGGGGTCGAACGACCCTTTCACAGAGGTTACATATCCGATATCCTGCACATCAGTTATTTACATAAGAGTCATAACAGTAGCAATATTACAGTTAGGAAGTAGCAACGACAATAATTTTATGGTTGGGGGTCACCACACCATGAATAACCCTGTATTAAAGGGTCGTAGTGTTGGGAAGGTTGAGAACCACTGGTCTAACCTAAGGGACCACTCAGCTGGGGACAGATGAAAAGAGAAAACAGACGGCAGAGCTGAACAATAGCCAGGCAGCCATAAGTGGAGTTTTGGGTAGAGAAACTGAGGAGACTAGAGGCTATGTAACACAGTGAGGAAACTGGAGCACAGAAGGAAAAGGGAGGCTAGGGAGGAGGAAGGGGACATGCAGCAAAGGTGAGAGGTGAACTTATCTCTGGAGACTCACTCAGAACTACGAAACTTTCTCATCAGAGAAGCACTGCATTTTTTGTTTTTTTCGAGATAGGGTTTCTCTCTGTAGTTTTGGTGCCTGTCCTGGATCTCGCTCTGTAGCCCAGGCTGGCCTCGAACTCAGAGATCCACCTGGCTCTGCCTCCCAAGTGCGCCACCACCACCAGGCAGAGCGTTGTTTTAATCAGTTTTCCTAAGAGCTTCACTGCAATCGAAGTCAGTCAATCACTTATGGAAGGGAGACAAGCTGCAGTTTCTATTTCCCAGGGAAAAATCCCTAAATCTCCTCAGACAAAAAGAGGATTTTCTCTTTGTCCTCTTTTTATGAGATGCAGCCTCTCTGAGTCTCAAATTTGTGCAGAAGTACAAGTTCCAATGCCCATTCGCTACCCGCATGCATGGCACATATAAATCCTTAGCTAGTCACACGTGACAAACCAACTTCAAATCAAGGGTTATGCAGCACCTGTTTACCTCACATCTTACTAGAAAACTATGGATTCAGCTGTCTTTTAACAAGAACTCACAGGGCACCAGGTAGAATTTAGCTGGATCTTCCCTGCACCAAGACATGAAGTAATCACACAACACAGTTACTTTCTTGAAAATTTGGAATAGGGAATTATCAAAAGCTAAGCTATCACCTTAGATATGAACTGAAAAGAAGAGCCCAAATATTCTAGCACTACTAATGCCTACCACTTTAAAAAAAAAAAAAATCGCTTACGAATTTAACAATACTTTCTGAAACCATTTATACATTCAAATCCTTTCTCTAGCCTCATAAAATAAGTAAATAAATGAGTCCCTTAAGCATTCAATGTGCTCTTTACATTGTACTTCATCTTTGTCTGTCCTGAATTCAGATTATAAAAACTGGTCATTTGGATGGCCAAATAAGACAATCTAATGAAGACACAAACAAACACCTCCTGCTCAGTGAGGCGTGGTGGACATTAGTTCCATCTTCAGAGCCTCCAAAGTGGCAAGAGAAGCAGACTCCCAGGAGCTGTGCTCTAACCTCCACATGTGTGCTGTCACATGTGCAAGTCTGTTCTTACACACACGCGTGCATGCACGAACACAGATCAGAACGGACTTCAGCAGCCCCTTACCTGATGGTCTTGAATCTTTCTGCCCACCACTCTGAACGTGTTGTTGCCTGTATGGTGATATATGTGTACTCTGCTGAACCCGGTGGAGCCACCAGCTGGCACCCACTTCTTGTTGGCATCATCATAAACCATTACAGCAGCTCTTGCCTGACAGATACTCTGTTCACTGTAAAAAAAAATAAAGTTCAAATGAGATACTTAAAATATGTGAGGCATGCCACAGAGCCAGGAGCCAAGATTAGCCAACCTGGCAGTCAGTTAAAAACAAGCAGAGGCTCTTACCCCTATGGGTGGAGTCTAATGGGAAAGTATAGCAACGCCAAGTATAGTAAGGGGGGATTTTGGTGTCCATAAAAATACAAAAAAAAAAACCAAAACACCAAAATGTATCAAAGTTATTATCAAATTGAATAAATCTATCAATACGACTGTGAATTAATCACCACTTGTTTAACTATACAATGACGACCTGTCTGAGATTTATTTTCTCCTTGTGGACAGAATTAGTTTTATCGTTAGGATCACTTCAAAGTCTCTAACAAATTCAGTCAAAGGAGTATCTGTTCCTCCAAACACAGAGATAAAACTAATAATCAATGGCCAACAACATGACTGACTCCTTTCATTCCCTTTACTCAAGTTAATGCTTGAACATTTTTTTTTTCATTTTTCCTTTTAAAAGTGTAAGAATAGGGGGCTGGAGAAAGAGCTCAGGGATTAAGAGAGCTTATTGCTCTTACAGAGACCCCAATTTTGAGTCCTGGTACCCAGACTTGACAGCTCACAACAACCTGTAATTCCAGCCAGGAGACCCAATGCCTGTTTTCCATAGGCACTTACGAGTTACACACACACACACACACACACACACACACACACACACCACTAAAAATAAAAGACTAAAAGATGATTTCTAAGGTTCCTATTAGATTTAAAATCCTCTTCTTCACAGATAAATACTAAAAAAGGAGAAGACCAGAATTTTTGGTTCCTATCTATCCCAATTACTTGCTACTAAGTGATACTGAGACACACAGAGACGAGGTCAAGTTCTTACTGAGCAATACATTCACCTTTCAAATTTTCCAATGTTCTTGGGGGAAAACCTGATTAGTTTTCCATTACCTTATTCTATGCTACACTTCTTTTTCAATACCATATATCAAAAGAGAACATAAAAAACAGGCACTGTTGACTACTAACCCAGTTAAACTAACAACCTCTAGGGCAGTGGTTCTCAACCTACGTGTCACGACCCCTTTAGGGATCACATATCAGAGATCCTGCTTATCAGATATTTACATTACGATTTGTAACAGTAGCAAAATTACAGTTATGAAGTAGCAATGAACTAATTTTATGGTTGGGGTCACCACACCATGAGGAACTGTATTAAAGGGCCAGAGCACTAGGGAGGTTGAGAACCGCTGCTCTAGAGGAAGAAGCCTACTTTTGAGTGGTTAACACAGATGCTCCTAAATAGTTCATGCACTCCCTATCCCATTTGTAATGCAAGTACTTGGTTCCTTCTACCAATTCCTGCCTCAAGAGACCTCAGACAATACACTGTGGTTTTTCCCAAACGCCCTCAGAAACAGTTACCCCTACACCTTTGCCTTACTCACGCTTCTCTCCATCCATCCAAGAGGGACAATGAACACAGCTTTGCAGGAGGGTTTGTGTGTGCCTTGATGACAAGATCATGGAAGACCTACAGAAATCACTTCCCTGAATAATCAATTTGCTTCAGAGAAATTAGTTCTAATTATTTTAATTTTCCATTAAGGAAATTCTACAAAACCTAAGCTACATGTAAGCAGCAATGACATAGTAAATCCTTTGGTGCTATCTCAACTTTTATGCTGCCTAGAAATTTTCTGGGACTAGAAACAAGTCAATGACTGAAGCCTGAATTGTTTGTTTGTTTGTTTTTTAAAGAGCATTACTTAAAAGTATTTGTCAGTACAGGGGTTGAAAACTTATTCCTCTAAAGAGAAATATATACTAAGTGACAACTTTCATCTAAGTATAGCAAAGATGATTGAAATAAGCAAAAGTCAGTGCTTCTTACAGCTTAGGGCTTACAACTATAGAAATAAATATACTATGAAATGAAAAAAAGATAAACAAACCTGTGAATTAATGCAAAACTAAATCTTTCAATGTTCAAAAATTAGTACTGGCCAGGCACAGTGGCACAAGCCTTTAATTCTGGCACTTGAGAGGCATGGGTAGATGTATCTCTGTGAGTTTAAGGTCAGCCAGGGTTGTAAAACAAGACTCCTTTAAAACAAGCAAACAAACAAATAAATAAATGGCATCCCAGGAGGCCATTAAAACTTGATGACTTGAATTAGATGCAATAGCACACACCTGTAACTCTAGCAATCTCATGGGAGACTCACATAGGCTCGTGGACTAGCTAGCATATATCTACCTACTCTGACCACAGATGCTACACACAAATTAAGCCATGATAATCAAGTTTTTAATTTCATGGACCTACAAATCTAAAAAAGACTGGGTGAATCAATACAGAACAGGATGTTAATATTTTGGTCTATTAGCCATTTTGGTAGATAAGAAACTATAGGGGGGAAGACCGTCACAAGTTATTAAAATGAAACAGAAAAATAGGAATAGAAGAGATGGAGAAATGGCTTAGCAGTTAAGAGAACAGCTGCTCTTCCAGAGGACCCTGATTCAATTCCCAGTACCCACATGGTGGCTCACAACTGCCTGTAAATCCAGTCCCAGGAAATCTGGCCTCTGCAGGTACCAGGCACATATGTGGTGCACACATATATGCAGGCAAAACACCTATACACATTTCAAAAAACAAAACTTAAAACAATCAAATGTAGTAACTTTAGTTTTCTAGACATTACATTATTCATGTTTGTATTTTCCCCCTCCATTTTATTTTAGTCCAGTGAAATCGTCAATGATCGGCTTTGAAATAAGACAGCTCTGTGAGGTACCTGTAATCCCAACACCCAGGAGGCTGAGAGCAGAAAGATCCAAAATTCAAAACCAGCCTGGTCATAGAGAAAAACTCTTAGCTAATTATGGCTGTTCCCAGCCACATAGAAAGTACTGTGGGTATATATCCAAGAACAGAGCATTGCATCTTTATACACACCATGACAAGCCTCAAAATAAAAACACATCAAAATCTTCACATTTCTGAGTCAGTGAAACAATTATGAAAAAGATTAAATAAAGTACTAAACTGTAGTTTTGTGAAGATTAGATACTAAATTAGCCATAAACAAAACCCATATTCTTATGGTGCAATTTAATTAGTGTAAAGAGTTGATTATACTCCATGTTCCTGATGTTAATTTTGGTATTTTCCAATGAAATATAGCATTAAAAAGCTAAGGATTGCTGGTTTACCACATACACACGCATATACACACACACATACATACATACATACACATACACAAAGTGTAAAGAATCACAATATTACTTTATGTATAGTTTTGTAGCTTAGTCAGTTAGTTCATTTCTGAATATATTCCTGAACAAGTAGGTATATATAATGGGTAGAGAATGCTCGTCAAAAACAGGCACCAGTAAATAAATGTTTATATTTAAGGGAAAAAAAGAACTTATTCTTGTATATACTGTTTAGTGATAATGCAGTAAAGCAGCCTTTAACAAACAGCAACTCCCTTTCAAAGACACCACCTACTAATCATTTGTTAAAGCATAAATATTCCAGTGCCTCACACACAGTAGGTACTCTTTAAACGCTGTTCAGTAAATAATCACATCTCACAAAACCTGACTTATCAAAAACCTGAACCAAATACTTTTCCTTTTGTTAAGTCTTCCTAGGGTCCCCAAAGCCATTATTAATTGCTTCCTTTTGCGTTCTCCTAGTGAGATTCTCTGGTGAGGTAGCATTTTAGCCACAGGAAGGAGATGGTAAAATACTAGAGGGCTTAAAGTAGAGCATGACTTACATTTTTCAAAAACATAACTAGCTACCATGAACTAAAGAGACATGGAAATTAAGAATACAAGCTAGAATACTAGACTAGAAAACAGGAGAAAAACATGTAGAATGTTTGAAGTATAACACAAAGAATAAAAACTATGGATATAACTAGCATGTTACTAATGTTCCTGCTTTAAAAAAAAAAAAAAGGCATTGTTTTGATCTGAGCTTCTTCACTAGGTTCCAAGACCAGTTCACACTAAACTGGAGTCATCAATGCTGAATGCCGTACAATCAAATTGAAGCTTTAAATAGATCCTCTACTTAAAGAGGATCCAAACAGAGCAGTTGTTTCTCTGTGCTCCCCACCCCCACTTAAAAAAGAGTAATCCATAAATCCCAAGTTCCCGCAGCAAAAATGTAACTGATGGTAATGAGCCTATGCCCCCCCCCATTTATTGTTATTTGTTCCCACCTTACAAAACCCAAAACACATTTTTTGTTTTTTCGAGACAGGGTTTCTCTGTAGTTTTGGTTCCTGTCCTGAATCTTGCTCTGTAGACCAGGCTGGCCTGGAACTCACAGAGATCTGCCTGCCTCTGCCTCTCAAGTGCTGACATTAAAGGCATGCGCCAATGCCGCACTCGGCCCCAAACCCATTTTTAACTCCTCCTGCTCAGAAGGAGCTCACTCATGAGTATATACAAAGATATATGAGATGAAATTTTTGTTAATTTCTTACAGCCCCTCCCCTCCCAAGAAATGACTACTCACCAAGTAATAATTAAAAAAATTAATTGATGGGTAGGTAGTGTGCTGACCAATGCTTCCCACTAAAACCAAAGACATATACCATTAAGGCTTGAAAACAGCCCATAGTCAAGGTTTCAACTAACACCTGCGTCCAGCAGTATTTCCAGTCTACACTTTTCTCCTGTGCTCAAAAGCTCCACACACACAGCTACTTGCCGTGTACTTGTACAAAGCTAATTTTGAAGCATAAGGCATTCTCCTACCCAGTTTCTTCCCTTACTCTCACTGCTCCTCTCTCCCCATTTCCCTTTCCAAATGAAACATACCCACATTTCTTCTCCCGACAGAAATCTAAGTTCCCTACACTGCTCCTGTGCAGTTACCTTCCATCAGTCACCAGGACCCAGAGGTACCTTTTATTCTGTCTCAGTGCCACCGCATTACTGTGCTATTTCTTCCCTGGA